CATAAACATATATGAATTTATTGTTTTTAATGTTTGCGCACCATTATGACAATTAGTTGCTTATTCGTAGTGTTGGAAAACTCACGGTAGGTAGAACACTGTTTATGGAACACACGGACAATAAATATTAGGAATAATATTTATGGCGTGTGCGGTCATGTTTGATAATCCTAAACGTCAATGCTTGCTTGTCATATGAATTCGGACTAGGAATAGGATCGTCTCGTGGCAATCATAGATTTATTATATCTTGGGAAAGAATAGTAAATGAAAGTGGAATTATCGATCGTCGCAATTGCATGAATCGAATTAATTATCACTGATTGAGAATTGATTAATGGAGTCGAAAATCCAATACACCCACCCACATTTGATTTAAAACCATTTTTTATTGTTTTCGTAGTTATAGAACGTAGTTAACTAAAAATCAACCATCTTTTGTTACATTTGCGAATTTAAATATATCGAATACTCTAAAATTGATCCTTATTCCCTATGGGACGATAACTCACTCATCACAATTATTACTTGTACAACGAACTCGTACGCTTGCGAGATTTTTGCATAACAAGTCACACTATACTTACATGTGTATATTTCTACACAATGCCTGTGTTATGCGCCTGCAGCATGACAAGTCACACTATACTTACATGTGTATATTTCTACACTCGCTTCTCAGTTTCCCACTTAATGCTCTTTCTTATACTAGTATAATTTAAATAAACACCATAGCCCACACCATTGAAAAAAAAGGAAAAGTTATTGAGAAAACTACTCATAATTTTGATCTAGACAACAAACAATAAGGGAGAGCAAATCTCCCTTTCAGTATAAGAAAAGATGGTTGACACGTATAACATATCCAGGAACTAATATGAACTAGAATGAGGACAAACCTCCATATTTTGTAGCATATCTTTCAACTTTTCCTGGCGCCGTCTCCTAGCATTGTCATCTCCATCTCCCAGTTCTTGGGCAGCTAGTTTGTCAGCTTCAGCCACAAGTATACCGTCGCAACTCTCACAGTGAAAGTATTCGTCATGTGGGGAAATCAACCGAAGCGCATCTAAGGCAGTGTATCTGGACTTTCATTTCCAATAAATTCTAAAATAAACAAAAAGAGGACTCGAAGAGAAGACATGCCAATATCAAAAACAGATACCTTTTACTGCAATTGGGACATATGTACTCCTGAACAGTGTTCTTGCTTTCTAGTTCATCCTTTAGCTTTTTCTTCATGCGGTGTAGTCTGTACCTTACCACATCATGTATCTGTAAACAGTTTCTTTACTTTCATATTTCATTCATAGAGTGATAGAGAATCTACATTCATCTAAGAACTTTCAAGCAAATATCAACAGTATGCAAAGCATTAAGAATTGTAGATAATGATAACAAAATAAGAAACTGGCTATGTGAACTGTTGAAAACCAGAGGGCATTAAGATGATCACATTCAATACCCAACCAATTTCAGGAAATGAAAACAATAAGCCATGCTAAGCCAACTAACATAGAAAAAACTTTTTAACAGAATAGGTATTCAACTGAATTTTCCAATGCAAATCAGGGATTTCAAATCATGGAGCTCAAAAATGAATTAAGCTTCTAAATTAGTATATGAACCTAGGCAACTACTCTAATACATTTTTTTTTTTTGAAAGGTAGGCAACTACTCTAATACAATGCAAAATGATTTGATATGGATGCTTCAACACTGTAACCGATATTAGATTTTCCTCATTTATACCATCCTGCCCCCAGATTTCATCTATAGTTGCACCGACTAGATATCCGAGTTGAAGTGAAATCGCAGGAAAATGCACATCGATCAAATATTACCCCCTAAAGAGCATTTTGAATCTTAGAAGCCATTATCTAATAGCCAACTGGCTACAATTCTGTTCGGCCTTCCATCTCTTCTGCCATTCATTTCTATGGTCTTGTCTTTCAATTTTCTTTCCACTCTATCTCCCACTCTCTGGTGTTTTGAATTTTTTCTTTTATAATTCAAAATAAAATCATAAAGCTGACTTGAGGAGCTACACTGGTGCTCGACAAGGCTCCTAATGGCTGATGCCCGAGAATTTGTCAAGATTCAGGAATAACTGCGTACCAGAAACTCTTATGTCCTAGCTTAGCTTCTCCATAAAGTAAATTTCAGCAACTCATTGATTTCTAAAGTGCTGAATTCACCGATTTCAATTATTTAAACACTATCTTTTTTGAAAGGTAATTATTTAAACACTATCCAACGGCAGTGTTTCATCTTATCAACAGTGACCTATCATTCATGGGTTCAAGGCATTAACTGGAACTTGAGGTTGGATTGAAGTTTGGTTTGCTCAACCTCATTCGTTTGAACCTGGGTATTTTTCTTTTGTAATAAAATACTGCATACAGTAGACATTGTGGATCTAAAATAAAGTTTGTTTTTTACAGCCAGCAGGGGAAGGGGGGAGCTACAAACCTGTGCATAATCTAGACAACAATATGAATGAGTATGCATCTTAAGTTTTTCATCTCCTTCTCTTCCACCCGGTTGACCATCCCCCGTGGCAGCTACAGCAGCACTGTATATTTTTGCACCTTTTGCGGTCTGCAATCATATCAATGAGATAATGTTAGAAAAAACATAACAGACAACAAATGGCAAAGCTAACTACAGAGGAAGACATATCTCAAAAAAAAAAAAAAGTATATATATATATTTATATTTATATTTATAAGCTAAAAAAAACCAAAAATGATTGTCACTAAACCATGAAATTTGTCAATAAAATTGACGAACTTTAAGAAAACGAAGTGAAAACTTGGCAATCTTTTAACAGAAATTAATCTCAGAACTACCGACTCTAGACAGCTGGCCTTTTAAGAATCAATTTTGGGTTGTTCTTAGAAATAAATTTGAAAACAATGTGAATTCAATTCTATTTGCAAGAAAGCAGATCCAAGTTTGATTTTGGAGTGCGATATTTCACATTTGCATGGCTCAAATAGTAACAACCTGGACTGGACAGCCAAACATCATAAGGTTGGGAGAAAAAATGGAGGTCAAACAAATTTGAGCAAAGTTCTTTTTAGTCACTCTAAACTTTTTGCTCCAAACTCGTCCCTGAAGTCTCAATTTGGTCACAAATAAAGATTCTGTGACAAGATTTATCATCCTTTTCTACATGGCAGTTAGATTTTCTTGTGTGTTTTGTTAGTTGGCAACATTGGTTGAAAAGCGACGGAAACTTGCAGCTTTAATATTAAAAAAAAAGGCTATTATAACAATATGGCATGATGCATAAGTGCAACTTCTACAAGTCAAAACAAGTGATTATAGCACAATTGGAGAACTAGCCCTTATTAACGTCTATAATCTACGTAAGAAGTCCATTTACCAAAGAGGAAAGGACCCTAAATTTGTGTCAATATCGTCAGCAGTGACCAAATGAAACAAAATTGAAACTTTAGTAATGAGATGGGAACAAAAAAAGTTGACAGACTAAAATGAATTTTTGCTCAACGTGGGCGAACTCTAGTGTTTTTTACCCCTTGGGTCGTTTTGGAATTCAAATCATGTTTGGACCCTCCATGAATAATTTTATGCAGGCCTTAAGGTTATATCAAGAAATCAAGTCTACCAAACGACATAACATGTTGAAAACCCAAAAACACAGAAGGCTGTAACAAAATAAAATTTCAAAATGCAAAGCAAAGCAAAGCAAAAAAAATTCGGAAATCATCAAAAGATTACAAAAAGGATTACCAAACAATGGAAGATAGTTAAGGATAAACAAAAGCCAAAACTAACGCCCAGTGGAATATGTAAAAAGGGGAAAAAAGGATTTGTGCCATATCACTGAACCATCAAAACAAACCTCCTTCCTGTGATCCCTAGTGACCAGCTTTTCTTCTTCAAAGAATCTCAAAGTCCGACGAAGTTGCTTTGAGTGTAGCTTCAAGTCCTTAGCCAAATCTTCTTCCCTTACCCACTGACGTCTAAAATGGAACATAAATAGAGCTTTCTAGGTTATATGGATAAATAACACATGTTCCACACATAGCACCCATACATAAAAATGCAAAATAAAACAGATAACTAGAATGAAGTAATTTGACTATAACTACCATGGAAATAAACAAAATATATGTCGATCTCTCAGCATATAGAGAAATTTCAAATAAATAACCTGTCTATCTATGCATAGTGAGCCGAGGCCAAGTTTATTCGAAATAAGCTTAGCCACTGTTTGGTTTAGATAAGAATCATATTTTAGTAAATATTAATAAAAATTGATGGAATGTGCGGTTGAAAAACTATAGATCCATGAAATATGTGGTTAAATTAATTGTTGACTTATTTTAATTATATTTTTTAGCTAAACCAAACAGGGGATTAATTTGTTATTGTTGTACATAAAACATACATTCACTATGTAACACAACATAGAATATCGCTTCTATCATTAAAATAAAGACATTCAAAAGTTAATGTTAGTTCCTCCAAGAGTCGAGCAAATAGTGGAAAACTAACTAATACGAGAAAAACATTTTTTTTGATAAGTAAATAATACGAGAAAAACATATTACATCAAAATTTTACTTGATGATATAATAGTACTGCCAAAGAAGTTTTTAGAATAAAAACGACAATTACCTGGTGAGAGCATCAAGAACAACCACCGCAATTCCTCTATTGTCACTTCTTCCCGTCTTGGGCTGTTTATCACCTTTTGTAGTTATATCATCATAAAAAGCACGAGCCGCAAGTTTGACCAATCTTTTTGTTTAATTTTTTAGAAACAAAATATAAGATTCCAATTAACAACTAAATATACAAGATAACTTGGAAATGAAAGATCAAAATCAAAAGAAAGCTTCAACCAAAGAGCCGTTTAATAAAGTACCGTTTAAATGGTTCAACACTCAATGCCTCGTGGCTACCCATTTGTCACATTCGAGTCCAGAAGCTATCGTGTGATAATATGGGATGATGTTTTGATTACTTCACCGATGACTGCAAGTCTGCGTATTGAAAATCCACACCAATGGTTACTTCAGTTACAGTGACGAGTTTTAGAGTTACAACAGCACGGAGGAATGTGGAGACGCCAAAATATTGAACTGTCTTTCCCGAAACTTAAAGAAACTTAGATATGATAGTAATTTTTCAGTAAAAGAAGAATTAAGATCCAAGCCTGAAGAAACATCTTAAACCATGAACAACCCAATAAAATTTCATGCAGCATAATATAACAAATAGAAACACGTTGGGTTTTTTACCTGATTGATTGAAAGCACAATAAGTCGGATAAGAAAGAAATCAAGATTCTTGTCCAGATTTGCAGAGAAATCAACAATTGAAATTTGGCTCAGTCGCACTGACGAGTAGGTTATCGATTAGGGTTTTGATTTTGTATTGGGGAAGATGACAAGCTAAACTCTGGACTGCAGTAAAAGGAGAAACGTGAGAAAGAAATTCCAGGAAAATTTAAAATAGGGAAAGCTAAAGAGATGTTGGATGGAGATTCAAATTGAAAAATTAGTTGTTATTGTTGATTTTTATTAGATTAGTCGGACATAATAACGATTATATTTTCAATTTTAATTGAATTTTAATCTTTACCAAACAAGCTCTTATATCTTCGGTCCGGAACCTTTGACAATAGGATCCCAAACCTTCAATCTTTAAGACAATAGGATCCCCGAACTTTCAATTTGTGCATCTCGAACTCCTAAACTATTAAGAGGGTGCTAGCATGATTAAGGGGCCGTTCTCTTCGGGTTTCAATTTTGTGTTTTGTGTTTTGAAATCATTTTGTATTTTGTATTTTGAGTGTTCATTTTGAGATTATTGAAAACTCGTTCTTTTTGTCATTTTGTAAAAACATTTCTCAAAACAATCAATCCCAAAATTTGTTCACATGGTTTTCTATTTTCCCATTCTCCAAAATCGCCCCCTCCAGAGTCACCATTTCTTCCTCACAAACCGGCCACCATCCACCGTTTCTACCTCACAAACCGGCCACCATCCACCACAACATCATTCTAACCCCCTGACCTGACCTCCCTCTACAACGTCCACCGATTAATTGATGGAAAATCAGCCAGAATCAACCAAAAAAATCGTAGTAGCACTCACTGTTTTGACCTATAAACACCGTCGCCGGCCACTTTTCTGATCGCGGACCACCACCAATCTACTCCTCTCAACAAGGCGCATCTAATTCTACCATGGGTCACCTTCGATTATCTCCAGAATCGGTTGATCTGATCTCATGGAAGCCGCCTTCGATATCTCTCCAGAATCGCCTGATTTTATGGAAGCCGTAGGTGAGTTTTGAAGCCATGGTTGGAGTCGGCTGGGTGTGGGCCATTGTCCGGAGGTGGTGCGCGACCTTCAGTGTTGTTGGAGGTTGAGTTTCTGGCATAAGCAGTTCATTTCGAATCAGTTTTTGAGGATATTTTTTTTTCGATTTTGGTATATGATTGGATTGTTGTTTGTGTTGTAATTGAAGAGGGGATTGAGGGCTTCACAATGGTATATAACTCCGGCCGTTTTGGAGGAGGTTGGCCGGACTTTGCAGGGTTGGAAAGTGGCGGTGGAGTTTTGTGTTGTAATTGAAGAGGGGATTGAGGGCTTCACTATGGTATATAACTCCGGCCGTTTTTGAGGAGGGTGGCCGGACTTTGCTGGGTGGGAAAGTGGCGGTGGAGGATGGAATGGTAGAAGAAAGGAGGAGAGTTTTGGGCTGTTTCCTGTTTTCCAATTTGTGATCCCGTGTTTTCCAATTTGTGAAGGAAACGGCCAAAACGACTTTTTAGCCGTTTTGCGTTTTCTTCAGAAATTTTTTTTCTGTTTTCCAAAAGCCGTTTTCGAAAATGACATAGAGAACGCGTTTTCGTCGTTTTGAAAAATCGAAAACAGAAAACGGCCCCAAAACAGCAAAGAGAACGGCACCTTAACTTTTACGAGTCAAAATTTTCTTATACATTCTACTCCCTCTATATCATAAAGATATATTTGCTTTTATTTTCATACAGATTTAAAAAAATGAAACTAATATAACCCTAGTTTGGACTTTATTTTATCCAAAATGCATTTTTTTCTATTTCCTCTTTTTAATTACATATTCTCCGATAAAATAATATTATATGTAATTTCAAAATTTTTCCTTCTTTTTTAACTATAATACATTTTGCAAAAAATAACTATTTCAAAATATATTTTTCCTAAAAATATATTTTAATGGAGCCCAAACAAAAGCACAATTCTTGGCACAAATTGAATTATGTGAGTGTTTGGCACCCATTCTTTTAAAGAATGAGTTTTGAATAGTAATTGATGTAAAGAATGTGTGGTTAAAAAGTAAGAAAAATTTTTGGGTTTATGTGTAATATTATTTTATTGGAGAATGTGCGGTTAGAAATGAGTACTGTAGAAAAATGAGAATGAGAATGAGATAAAAAATGGGTGTCAAACGGGGGCTATTAAATCATAAGAGCATGATTGCTTATAGAGGGAAAGCTATGAATCCCAAGATTCTTGCCTCAAGGAGTAATTGTTTTGACCTATTCTCTTTTTGTTTCTCTTTCGTTATTGTGATTTTGATTCAATCACTGAAATAACAGGAAATTATAAAATAATAATAATAATAACCATCAAGTGAGCAACTTGTGTGGACATCATTATGTGAAGTAGAATAGTGTATCGTTGCCGGCAAGAAAAAGAAACGAATATAAACGCTCAGAAAAGATAACAATATAATATCCGTTTGATTGCAAGAGTGAAATTTTGATAAAAAGAAAATAAATTTCAATGAATTGAATTGCTTAGAATTATTTTCCTGTGAATTGTCAATTAATTGTGTTTGATTAGTATAATTTTCTAAGTGAAAAATATTGAAATGTTGAATCTTTTGATATTCGTTTGGCTTTGTATTAAATGAAAATTGTTTATTCAATAAATAAAATTTGTTACAATTGGGAATAAAATTTGTTTTCATTGCCAAAAAAAAAAAAAAAAGTAGCCTGAAAAATCAAATCCCACCGTGTGAGGCAAAAGATGGAAAATGAATTACCCCAAAAATTTTCCAATCAAACGTGACTTTTGTTGGAACATGAAATTTCATTTACAAGTTCCATAGAAAAATTGCCAAATCAAACGGGGCCTAATATGAAATCGTGGGAAATGTTCAATTTTGATACCCATTTGAAAAATGTTGAAAAGTTGACTTCGAATTTTAAACAGCTTTTTAGCTGAACCAAACTTGAGCTTATTCTTTTCGCAGTTAATAAAAATCAACACTTTCAATGATTATTAGTTTTTTGTTACAATAACTACAAATTCAGATGAACTGTTTTGCTTATATACATGTTGGGTGCCAAGTCATGGCATGAAAATATCCAAAGGCCAGAGCAATTCCACACGGCTGTGTGCAGATATACAATCAACAAACAAGTCGGCAACAAAGCGAAAATCAGAAATTAGCAGCCAATGATGAAGTTACGAGATATACGCTTTGATAACATCTGTATAGTTGCAAACCAAACCAGTTCTCGGGCACGTGATTTTACCATTATTCTTCCTCGACATGTCTTCAAGAGCCTGCATATATAAACCGTGATTAGAATGTCCACACAATTTGAACCTGCGTATACAAACATGCTTGTACAAAAACCTAACATTCGGAACAGGGAAGACCTTAGTGCTGTAGACATAGCCATTGGGCAAGACAAGTGGTGGATTCTCGGTATCCATTAGTTCTTTACTTATGTAGCAAACAAGTTTCGAATGATGCTGCTTTGAATATGGTAGTGGCTGTGCTAATTTGCGGAAGCTCTCCTGTGAAAGAGGATCCTCCTTAGTGCAATCATCTTCGAAACAGAATCTGAATTGTGTCAAGGTAAAAGCTTGGACGAGGATAGACATGGCAATTACTGAATCAAGCATACTGGAACCATTATCCAAATATTTCAGAAGAGAGCAACATGCACATACATTATTATTGTCAAAATAAGTAATTTACCTATTTCAAGTTTTTGACCAATAAAAATTATTTAATTTAAAACTTACTCACTTGTAAGTTAACTTTTGAAACTTGCCAAATATGCTCTTAAAAAAAAAGAGAAAAAAAAAAAACAGAGAGAGAGAGAGAGAGAATTGGCTTATAAGCCAGTTACTAGTAGCAAAAGACTGAACTCTCTCCAGTCATTTGAATCCACATTATTTTGAAAACTGAATCTTTGACCAAAATAGCAGCAGCAGTCATAATAGCCAAATTTTCATCAGATTTTTATCATTGGAATACTTGAAAAAATCTAAAGAGTAAATAGAGAAGGATCACAAAGTATGGATACGGAGTTTTTAGGGCTGACAAGCCTGCTTGAAGAAATATGTTCAACAAAGGCTCAAAAGTCATGCCATACAATCTGCAAAACTCTTGCTTAAATTGGTCGACTAGGTAATCCCATTGCTTTTCTTCAAATAAAACCTGGAAGAAAATAATCACAAAGATCAGTGTATCCTTTGGGTAAATCCTTTGGGTAAATCCTCAGTTCTAACAGAGGAGTGGTGACATGTATCATTAATATTAATACAAATTATGGTCTCAGTCAATTTATACTGTAGGAATTGCTCAAGAAAATCTCAACAACTAAACTATTCAGAGACTTCGAAAGTATTAGGTTTCACCATAAATTTCATATATCAATTACATCAGTTATAGTACTAAATTATCCTTTCAAGTTTCAAAAATATCCCTTCGTTCTTAATCATTTGCCACTTAAAAAACCTTGCCAATTATTCTCGTCATTGACCCTCAGCATAATTTCTTTCACATTTACTACATTTAGCTTTTGGATGGAAACATAATAGATCTCGTGTAAGGACTACAGACTACTACACACAAAACCAGTATTCTTGTGACTGCAAGTGCATTCTTCAATAAGCAAATGTGCAAGATTAAGTTGTTAAGGATTGATGTTAGAATACGAAACGTTGTAATAATTACACAAATAGTTAATACAATTGATTAAGCAGCGGAAAATTATTAAGGAAGTCGATGGCTGTAAGGACACGTGTTCACCTTGTATTTAGCACATTCAGTATTACTTCTGAAAGCAAGTGTTGCCAGTACACGCTGCAATTCTTTCATATGGGTAGCTCCCCAAGGTGCCAGATGCTTCTGGGCATATGTTATAGCTCGGAGATTATTTTCTGCTCGTACNCAAGAAACACCAAGTTAAATTCATTTAAGTTATATATAACCGTTAATAGTTGTACTATCCTTTTTTAATAGAACGACTGCACTGTCTTCTACACTTCAGATAGTGCCGTTATCATTTAGTAGTTGCAAAAACACAAAATACAGTAAGCCTCCGTTTGGTGCATATTTTTGGACAAAGAATGTATTTTTACTGTTGATGTGATAGAGAATATGTGGTTGAAAAAGAAGGAAAAATTATTGATGTAATGAAAATATTATTTTATTGAAAAATGTGTGGTTAAAAATGAGTAGAAGAATGAGAATGAAAAAACTAATGTAGATCAAACAGGGCCTTAATCGGAAGTGCTCTTAAACTGGTTTGAAATGCATTATACAGAAAACTATAATAACAGTTCATACAGCGAAGTTCCTATCCTACCAATTCGAAATATGGATTCACAAACTTCTCACAAGACTTTGATAATACACCCAACAAATTAAGTGTAAATTTAAATAAGCTTATATTATTTGAAGTATCATGCCTCGAGGAAGATATGTCTTTTAATCATTCAGTGTTGCCTAGCTCAACAAATTATATTACTATGCACTTTCGTGCAAAATAATTCAAAAGCAAAACAACCTGATATTTACATAAGCCAATGCAAAAACAACCCCAATATATTTTTAATACAATAATAAATCAATCTTTGTTCTTTCCTGGGGAGGGAATCATTAACTAAATAACAAGAAGAAACAAACAAAATCTTGTTCCCAATGAAGAAGGTTATTAATAGAACACTATGCAGTGTGCACAAACATAAAATGATGAATATAAGACGTGAATTGTCACAAGAAGGCACTGTACAAACACTATATTGCCAAATATTTATGCTGCATTATATCCCTTCCTCTTTCGGCCTCCTTCTCCCCCACCTCCCTTCTCTCTCTATTGCATCCATTATGAATCCATGATTATATATTAAAAAACTGATTCCTCAGACAATTTCAAATCTTATGAATTTATACCCCTCTTCTACATTAACTAACTGAACGGAAATATTTATGTGCTTCCTTTTGAGGCATATCGTACTCCATCGGTAACAAGAGAAGGTAGAAACTTTCTCATATTGAAAATGATTTATATGCACAATACACATGTCAAGAAGTTAACAATCACTTCAACAGAAAAATGATCTGCTGAGTAATTCAATTGATGGTAATATAGTTTTGGAGAAGGAACACTCATAGGTCATCAATGACGGTAAATGGTAGGAGGCAGTTCAACTTGAGTTGGTAATTAAGTGTTCATTAACATTAAAAATTCCTCACAAGCTCTTACTACCTATAAAGCAATGGCAAACACTTTACATGGAGCTTATCAAAGCATAACTGATGCTCTAACAGTAAACCCACATATGGCACATGAGCATCTAGATATGAACCATTGCACACTAAAGTCAGCATCCAAAAATCTTCAGATGCCATACCATTCCCTCCGGCATGTAACTGGCAAATAAAGTTTCAGAAATTAGACGTTATTTCATTTTATAACACTGAGTCGGTAAAGATGGCCTTTAGCAACTGATGAGGAGCATGACTTGAACTTGAGGGTGAGGCCTATTTCATAAGCGATACTTCAAAGTAAAAGCCCAAACAAATAGTGCTTGGGGTGGATTCCTGGTCCTTATCTTTGGTGATAAGGTTTTGATTACGCCTCTCCCACTAACTATAACTTTTGAAAAAAGTAGTTGCATTTCCCTACAACAGCTGGTATTGTGTCAAAGTGTCAGAACTAGAGGTCTCATGTTCAATTCTCCAAGAAAGGGAGCATGATGCAAAGCATCACTTGAACATGAGGTGAAACTTATTCGTTAAGGATACTTCGAAAAGCCCAAATGAGTAGTGCTTGGGTGGATCCCTGGCCTAATTATAGCTTTTTCTAAATCTCCCTACATTAGCAACCCTTGCTAATGAAAAGTGGACTCGTTTCTTAATATAATTAAGACGTCTTTATGAATCATAATGCCCATACTCAGCTTATAAATGCCTTCGTGGAGAAGTGACTTTTTCTGCAAGAATTTTTTTAAATAGAAATGCTTTTCACTCATTCAACCAGTAATAAAGTTGAGAAAAATCTGGGCATTAGTTGGAATAGCACTTCCTTTACCTTTTCTTGTATGCAGACTTGTAGCTATCACTAAAATTTAACATCACAACATCTAACATTTGAATTTGAATTTGTTAACATCTAAGTGACCTGCAAGAAACACATTCTATAATCTACTGCGCAAGCGTTAATACCAGGCTTCATAGCCAAGTAAAAACAATTTTCTACTGAAATAAAACAAACATTTGACTGTGATCATATAGAGGATGCCTTATTCCAGAGGCTAAGTTACGAGCAATTTTTAATAGGATTTTACTTGCTCGTCGACTTAGATCATTGACATATGGGTGGAAGCTGACTCGTCTGTGGCCATTCATTGCATCCCTAAGGATGGAGGACCATGGACGATTCGAATCACTCTCAAACAGATCAAACACATTCTCTCATTTGACCGTCATATTGTTTTTCACATTTACCAAAGAGGGGAATGAGGTGGTTGATTCACCTGCATCTGAGGGTAGTATGGTCTGTTTGACCTACCACAGCGACTTTGTGCCCTTCTACAAATTGATCGATGTGGACTTCCTAGTATTAGAGGACATTAATTTGCTTTTCACTTGCTTTCTTTATTTAGGAAGTAGTGCTTTTCCATTTATTTTATACATGTATATGTGCATTGTTCTACTTTTGGGAGGTTTGGTTTTATGTCCCCCCTTCCTTTTGTTCTTGTGAGTTTGATTTTAACGATTGGGGTATCCTAACCCTCATTCGCCTTCCTTGATTGAGCCCGAAAACTCATTGAGGCTGTGTTGATGTTTTACTAAAAAACAAAAACAAACAAACATTGCCAATGGATAGTATATCCTTTTATTCCTTTGGGTTTGAAAACTTAAGTTACCCGTGAAGTGAATAAAACCTTTTCAAGAAATCATTGACCTTGAAATAGTAGTAACACTGCAACAATGGTCACACTTTTCACAACTTCACGATCTAGTTTATGATATTATGAATATTATACAAGATCTCTGCTCTGATGTTGCACTGAGAAAAAGGAAAAAAGTAGCAAAGAACTGTCAAGTTAATTTATAGTGAGCTAGGGCCAAGAGAAGAAAGAGAAAGAAACCTTCGACTTCTTCAGCCTGGATTTGTTGTCAGCGCACCAGGTCAAAGCTGGGGCCACCTCCTTCTCTTGAAGAGCAACAATAACCTTTTTTGCTTCATGAAAAACCTCTATATCAACAAGATCCTGGAATAGATAGATCAAAGACCATAATGCCAGTCTTTTGGGGTAACAGCAATATGAGGCCGATTAAGGATAGCAATTCCACAAAACTCATATGTTGCATGTTAGTTATTTATCTAAGTTCAAACAGGTGTTCAAAGAAGAAGGGCCAGGGTGCCAGAACTAATAAATGACAGACATACTTCCAAGCAACAACAACATGCTAGTCATATTCGCAAATCAAGAAATAAACAATAAATTCAGTCAAATTTAACGTTGGTAGGTGAGAGATGAGATACTTAATTCATTTCTTGATTGGGGAAAAATGCATAACAAAGCTACAAAATGACTAGACCACCATTCAGAAAGAAAACGATAATATTGCCTACAGAATCACCTGAATATTGCTGCTCTCTGCAAGCTTTGCAGCAGTTTCGTAGTATGACATGCGCAACATGTAATCCACCAGTATCCGCTTCAAGCGGGTACTATTCCACTCTGACAAATTCTCAACATCTGCGGATTCTAGATGGTCCAGTCTAGCTCGGCATTTCTGTGCTTGCAAATGTTCTGTTCGACTCCCCTCTTCCAACTGATTGTTCAAACGGTAGAAGTACTATATAAGTAAATAAACTTAAATTTGGGAAGAATTTGCAATCATTGTGATGTGTAAATTATATAGATGATTATGTTTTACATGCAGATTATTTACTCTTATCTTTAATGTAGTAGAAAGATAGCTAATTTTATTTTAGCACTTCTAAGTATGGATATCTTAAATTACCCAAGTTATAACATTCATATCTCCACGTATCCTATCAGTATCTAAAAACTCAAAACAAGTTAATAGGAAAAAAATTAAATGAACAAAAGAAGTTCTGTTCTGCTGAACCTTCTTTACAAAGCCTCTATTTGAGCCACATTAAAATTTTTATTCTCATTTTTCTACTCATTTTCAGCCACATATTCTTCAATAAAATAATATTTTTCACCACATCAATAAATTTTCCTTTTTTTTTTAACCATACATTCTCCATCAATCTACTATTTTTGTGCTTAAAACTTCAGCTTAGGTGATGTTACATAATAGATTAAATGAAATGTGATATAAAATAACCCTGAGGGGTTGTTCAATTGGTCAAGTCTTGGGTTTGCTCCCCAATTGTCACTAGTTCAAGTCCCCTCAGGGTCACTGAGGTGAGTACACGGCCGTAAACTTCAGGGTCTCGTGGGATTAGTCGAGGTGCGTGTAAGCTGACTCGGACATCCACGGTTATAAAAAAAAAAAAAAGTAAAGAAAGCCACTCTTGATATCTAAAAATTGAACACGGTTTTCTCTTTATTATTCTTTTCTTGCACAGAAACAAAAGCCAAAACCAATAAGAATGTGGACGTTTGAGAATTTTTCTTTTCTTTATTATACCTTTCCTTTGACTTGATATCTTAACAATTGAACATGAATTTGACTTTTCTATTCTTTCCTTACCCAGAAACGAGTTTATTTAATCAATGGCCACTGAACTTTGCTATAGTTACTACTTCCTTATCGATGATAAAAAGTTACCGTTGCTCACTCAACTTTGCTATATGTTATTGCTTGTTCACTGAAATTTAAAAATTTACTCATTCATCTAAATTTGAACAAAGTTACTCGTTGTTCAATGAAGTTTGCTCTAGTTAACAATTATGAAAATGATATGGGTGATTAATGGATAACTTCATTCAAATTTGGGTGAGCATGAGGAACCTTTTGAATTTAGGTGATCAGGTAGTAATATATAGCAAAGTTCAGTGACCAAAGAGTAACCTTTTGAATTTCAATGAGCTAGCAGGAATTTATAACAAAGTACAGTGACCATTGATTAAATTTACTCGCCCAGAACGCAAAACCAAAAACCCAATAAGAATATGAAAATGAGAGAGCAATTTGAGGGTTACAAATACACGTAACAGAGAATATAATACCTTCCTTTTGAGGCCCTGTAATCTGGATACAAGAGAATTGAGTTGGAGAACAGCGTCGTCCCGGGAGAGATCGGAATCCGCAGCCTCAGATACACAGGAGATGACGGCTGATACCTCTTTCTCGACGACACGATGGTTGGCGCGGATCGTCTTCTTGTAGTGCTCAAAGGGAACCCGGAGGAACTGATGTTCCAGTTTCAAGGACTCTGCCAGTTGGCAAATCTTTGACGATGGAATTGTGGTGGTGGCAGCTCCGAACCCTGCGGCAGGAGTAGCGACGCCGGCGGTGGAGTTGCCGTTGGGGAGTTGCGGGTCAGATTCCATCGATGATGACGTCTCTCTTTATTATTCTACTGAAACAGTGGATATAAATCCGGAACGGCAAAACGAAAAATTAAGGTAGTTGTACACAGAGTTAATGGTTAATGCTTTAATTGCAAACGGAAATTTGAGATGTCAGAATTTTGGAGTAAAATGTTTGAACAACCATTCAACTTTAACATAGTCACGACTTACTTAATGAACTTCAAAATACGTCTCAATGGTCACTGAACTTTCGGCCGTTGCACCACATCCAACAGTCACCAAATTCCGTTACATTATTCGCTAACATGGCTAACGGAAATCTGACGTGACAATTTACGACCGTTAAAAAAATGACAGCTCAACGAAACCATTGTTTCATTACGCATCCAATTTACACTTGGTCACAGTTCACTCATAGAACTTCAAAATGTCTCCCAATGGTCACTCATCTTTGAAAATTTGCACTTCATTCATCGTCCGCTATATTTTATTCTCTTCATTCCTAATGTTCGCACAAAAATTCCACCTGATAAGTTACAAATGTTAAAAAAATTACAAATCAACAAAATTTAACTCATCAAGATCACCATATATGAAACATAACTTCCATGGCCCCCATCAACTTCTTTAAAACCCAATAAAGTGTTCACAATGATTCTTTTAGAAATATCATTTTTCTAATTCGAACGTTTACTGTATAAAAAATAGGTTTCAATATGAAACTGAATAATTTGCTTGGTAGGAACGTTTACCATTTATGAAACGCGACTTCCACACCTCATAAACTTCTTTAAAATCCAATAAAACATCCCCAAACAAGCTATGCTTCAGAGTTTTAGTTTCAAATTGAAACCTATTTTTTGCACAGTAAACGTTCGAATTAGAAAAATGATATTTCTAAAATAATCGTTGGGGACGTTTTATTAGGTTTTAAAGAAGTTGATGGGACCGTGGAAGTTACGTTTCATATATGGTGATTTTGGTGAGTTAAGTTTTGTTGAATTATAATTTTTTTAACATTTGTAATTTACCAGTGGAATTTTTGTGCGAACATTAAAAATGAAGGGAACAAAATATAGTGGATGATGAATGTAGTACAACATTTCAAAGATGAGTGACCATTGGAAAGCATTTTGAAGTTCGATGAGTGAACTGTGATCAAGTGTAAGTTGGATGAGTAATGAAAAAGTGGTTTCGTTGAGCTATAATTTTTTTAACGATCGTAACTTGCCACGTCAAATTTCCGTTAGCCACGTTAGCGAATAATGTAACGGAATTTGGTGAACATTGGATGTGGTGCAAAGGTTGATAGTTCAGTGACCATTGAGACGCATTTTGAAGTTCAGTGAGTAAGTCGTGACCATGTTAAAGTTCAGTGATTGTTTAAACATTTTACTCCAGAATTTTGATAATTAGGCCGTGTTTGATTGACAAATTTTCTAGGGAATTAGGAAAATATTTTCCACTTTTCACTTTTTGACTGTTTGATAGGCGAAATTTTCCACGAAAAATATTTTCCACCTTATCCCTACACGTGTATATTTTCCGGGTAATTGATGAAATTTTTTTCCCACCTTCCAGGCTGGTTGCAAATTTTTATTTTTTATTTTTGTAATGGAAACAAATGTCATACCCAATGGCAAAAAAAAAAAAATTCACTTTAATGGACAATTTTCATATAAAACAAAGTAAAACGATCACTAAAATTCGTGAGATGACGGCTGATACCTCTTTCTCGACGACACGATGGTTGGCGCGGATCGTCTTCTTGTAGTGCTCGAAGGGAACCCGGAGGAACTGATGTTCCAGTTTCAAGGACTCTGCCAGTTGGCAAATCTTTGACGATGGAATTGTGGTGGTGGCAGCTCCGAACCCTGCGGCAGGAGCAGCGACGCCGGCGGTGGAGTTGCCGTTGGGGAGTTGCGGGTCAGATTCCATCGATGATGACGTCTCTCTTTATTATTCTACTGAAACAGTGGACATAAATCCGGAACGGCAAAACGAAAAATTAAGGTAGTTGTACACAGAGTTAATGGTTAATGCTTTAATTGCAAACGGAAATTTGAGATGTCAGAATTTTGGAGTAAAATGTTTGAACAACCATTCAACTTTAAGGTGGTCACGACTTACTCAATGAACTTCAAAATGCATCTCAATGGTCACTGAACTTTCGGCCGTTGCACCACATCCAACACTCACCAAATTTCGTTACATTATTCGCTAACATGGCTAATGGAAATCTGACGTGACAATTTACGACCGTTAAAAAAATGACAGCTCAACGAAACCATTGTTTCATTACGCATCCAACTTACACTTGGTCACAGTTCACTCATCGAACTTCAAAATGTCTCCCAATGGTCACTCATCTTTGAAAAGTTGCACTTCATTCATCGTCCGCTATATTTTGTTCTCTTCATTCCTAATGTTCGCACAAAAATTCCACCTGATAAGTTACAAATGTTAAAAAAATTACAATTCAACAAAATTTAACTCACCAAGATCACCATATATGAAACATAACTTCCATGGCCCCCATCAACTTCTTTAAAACCCAATAAAGTGTTCACAGTGATTCTTTTAGAAATATCATTTTTCTAATTCGAACGTTTACTGTATAAAAAATAGGTTTCAATATGAAACTGAATAATTTGCTTGGTAGGAACGTTTACCATTTATGAAACGCGACTTCCACACCTCGTAAACTTCTTTAAAATCCAATAAAACATCCCCAAACAAGTTATGCTTCAGAGTTTTAGTTTCAAATTGAAACCTATTTTTTGCACAGTAAACGTTCGAATTAGAAAAATGATATTTCTAAAATAATCATTGGGGACGTTTTATTAGGTTTTAAAGAAGTTGATGGGACCATGGAAGTTACGTTTCATATATGGTGATTTTGGTGAGTTAAGTTTTGTTGAATTATAATTTTTTTAACTATTGTAACTTACCGTGGAATTTTTGTGCGAATATTAGAAATGAAGGGAACAAAATATAGCGGATGATGAATGTAGTACAACATTTCAAAGGTGAGTGACCATTGGAAAGCATTTTGAAGTTCGATGAGTGAACTGTGATCAAGTGTAAGTTGGATGAGTAATGAAAAAGTGGTTTTGCTGAGCTATAATTTTTTTAACGATCGTAACTTGCCACGTCAAATTTCCGTTAGCCACGTTAGCGAATAATGTAACGAAATTTGGTGAACGTTGGATGTGGTGCAAAGGTTGAAAGTTCAGTGACCATTGAGACGCATTTTGAAGTTCAGTGAGTAAGTTGTGACCATGTTAAAGTTCAGTGATTGTTCAAACATTTTACTCCAGAATATTGATAATTAGGCCGTGTTTGATTGACTGGATTTTCCAGGGAATTAGGAAAATATTTTCCACTTTTCACTTTTTGACTGTTTGATAGGCGAAATTTTCCACGAAAAGTATTTTCCACCTTATCCCCACACGTGTACATTTTCCGGGTAATTGATGAAATTTTTTTCCCACCTTCCAGGCTGGCTGCAAATTTTTATTTTTTTTTGCAATGGAAACAAATGTCATACCCAATGGCAAAAAAAAATTCACTTTAATGGACAATTTTCATATAAAACAAAGTCAAACGAACACTAAACTTTGATAAAAAAATGATTTTTTAGGAAAAAAAATTTTTATACTTTTTGGCAATGAAAACAAATTTTATAACTAATTATGGAAAAAATTATCACTTTAATAAACACTTTCCATGTAAAAAAAAAATCAAACGAATAGAAAATTTTTAAAAAAAAATTTGGTGGAAAATTATACCAATCAAATACACTTAATTAACAATTCCCTACAAAATATTTTCTAGGTAATTATTTTCCTTGAAAATCATTTTCCTTCCACCAATTTTCCACCATTGCAATCAAACGCACCCTTAGGGGTGTATTAGATTAGGATTTTTGAAGTTTTGATGAACTTTTTTTAAGTGACGATTTTTGTAAATTTCGTGAATTTTTAGGAGATTTGTATGAAATTAGTGGAAATATTTTGTAGACTTTTATTTTAAATTAGGGGGGTATATTCAATTAAAACTTTTAAAGACTTTTGGAGAATTAAAAATTTTAGGTGTATTTAATTGAGATTTTTAAAGATTCTCTAAAAGTTTAGCTGCATTCAATAGAGACTTTTAAAAAGTCTCTAAAAATTTCGGGATATTCAATTGAAATTTTTTAAAAGTTTCTATAAATTACGAGGTATTCAATTATTAAGGACTTTAGGGACTTTATAATTTGCTAGACTTTTAGAGACTTTTTGGTGGAAAATATGAATAGAAAATCTCAAAACAAATCTCTCATTCTACCGTGAGATTTGTCAAGAGCCGGCCATTTTCTTCTCTTTCACATTCTAGAGTTTTCTCCTTCTCTTTAATCAGGTAAAATTTATCTTTGACACTAGACAACATAATTGTTGGGACATTATCAAGGAGATCCCAAATTTGGATGATGATGATCGTTTCAAGGCCCTTGATTTGCTCAATACTAAAGCAAAGAAGTCTGAGTTCTTGAACATGACACCAGAAGAACATTCTAAATGGATAATATTTAAATTAAAATGAAGCATTTTTGGACATGATTAGTAGTCAATTTGGTTGTTTTGGATTGTTAATTCGCTACCCAATCAGATTTTGTAACGTCGACTATATTATTGAATTCTACATTTTTTGAGTTATTTATGGATTGTGTTTTATGATAGTAAAATTTGTGATACTTGATTCGTTTATACATAACATTATCATTTTCTTTGTGTATGTCTTAAATTTTTGTTCATTCTATTTTTAGGTACTTCCATATATATAATGTCTAATCTTATCATACATGAAGATCATGAAATAGATATGGATGAGATTGAAGAAGATGAGAACGAGGAAGCATTATACGAAACTATTAGGTATTCATGGATGACAATTCAAGCAATTTTCTACGTGATAAATGATTATATAAATAATAAGTACTGTGAACGTATTAAGCGTTCACTAACTAGGCGGCCAAAAACTAGATATGGATATGACTATATACATAAAATATTAAAGGAGGATCCAGAAACCTTTCGACAAGTTTATAGAATGTATCCAGATATATTTCTAAAATTAAGCAATATCATTAGAGAAAAAACACCATTACGAGATATTAGATATATTTATATTGAAGGAATGCTTGCAACATTCCTACTCATTGTTGGTCAAAATACTCGATATTGCTTGATTCGGACATATAAGAAATTGTTTAAAATATTAAATTATATATGCTTAATATTTTATTTTAAAATATAAAAGTCTTTCAAAGTCGCTAAAAGTCTATAATGAAAGTCTACAGAAGTACATGGAATACTTTTATTAATTCTTACCAAATTCATAGAAATCACTTGAAAGTCCACAAAATCCACAAAAGTCACTCATTTAAAAAAGTCTCCAAAACTCTTTAAAAATTTCAATTGAATATACCCTCCTTAGAAACTTTTATAGAATTTAAATGGCTTTTAAAAACTTTCATTTGAAATAGAATTTATAAGAAAAAAGTAATAAGAATACAATTTAGTGGGTGTTTGGTATAGATTAAAATAAGATTTTTAGTAGATTGTGATATAAATTTTTTAAATGAGTAATGTTATTCATCCCCAGTGAGGTTACAAACACAATTTAGGTGGCTCTAAATGACGAGTTAAATGAAATGTGAAATTAAATGACTTATTTAATTTCACATATCATTTACTGCCGCATTAACGTCACCTAGATTGTATTTATAACCCCATTGTGGATGAATAGTATTACTCTTTTGAAATGTGTAGTTAAAAAGTTGTGAGACCTATGAAAGATGTGGGTAATATCGATTGTTTGACTTTGACTAAAATTAAAATCTAATTTTAATCCGAAACAAACGAGCCTTTAATTCTTTCATAAAAAATAAAAGTAAACAATAAGAGAGAAAGAAAAATAGAAACTAATATAATCAATCGAAAAAGTTAAGTTTTAATCATAACTCTAACGTTCGTAAAAGGGAAAATAAAAGAGAAATATTGAAAAAAATACATATTAATTTATTTATTTTTAAGTCTCACAAAATCTTGTGATTAATAGAAACAAATTTTGAGATTTTATTTTAGTACTTTTTGCTTAAAAGTTAGTAACATTGAGACTTTTATAAAAAAAAATCTCTAAAAATCATAGAAAATTGAATACCCCAAAACTTATAGTAATTTCTAAAAAGTTTTAATTGAATACACCATGACTTTTAGAGACTTTTTAAAAGTTTATAAAAGTCTCAATTGAATACACAAATACTTTTAGAGAGTCTCCAAAAATTTACATTGAATACTTCTAAATTTTTTAAATCTCAAAAAGTCATTAAAAGTCTCAATTGAATATACCCCCTAAATTTTGAATTGTATGACTCTCGTTTAAAATCTTTAACAGAATTAATGATGTGGTCGACGGAATATACATGTGATGTCCCATCACACTGTTAAGCTTTGAGATGGTCAAATTGTGATCGCTAAACTTTGGAAAATGTCTCTGATCGCTCACTAAACTTTGAAAAACATATTCTACTGTTCATCGAACTTTAAGATGGTCGAATTTTGATCGCTGAACTTTGAGATTGTCGAATTTTGGCCACCAAACTTTGAGATAGTCGAATTTTTGCTACTAAATTTTCAAAAAGCATTCGTTTGCTCATTGAACTTTGAAAAACGTCTTTTATTGCTCACTAAACTTTGAAATGGTCGAATTTTGACCACTAACTTTGAAAAAGGTCTTCGGTTGCTCACAATAAATTTGGATTTGATTAATTATTATTTTTTTTAGTTTTTAATTAAAATTTGAATTTAATTCGATTCTAACAACAAATTTAGTCCATGTTTGGTAAGAATTAAAATCCAGATTTTTACTAAACTCAAAATCAACAATTAATTTTA